GAATTCTGCGTAAGAGACAGCTAGATCGGTGTAAAGGCGTAAATCAGTGAGAACTGGTTCCAAGGAATCACTAAGGCATCTACCCCTGCCGCGTGAGGGTCCCTTACCCTGGACACAAAAAGACCAACCTTGTCCTTGAACCTAGATGCCAATAAATCTACATTCGGGCAACCCCATTGCTGGCAGATGCAAAGCCCATTCCCCTGGAATCACAATTTTCCACACCTGGAATGAACACTGCTGACAGACTTGGAACATATCTCTCTGCGCAGGTCAGAATGTAGTTCATCTCCTTCTGAGCAACTCGACTCCTGGTGCCGCCCTGGTGGTTGATGTATGCTACTACTGTGGCATTGTTAGACTGAATCCTTACAGGTAACCCTGAATCCTGGATGTCCAATACCTCAGAGCTAGCCTCACTACTCGAAGTTTCAGAACATTGATGGGAAGAAACCCTTCCTGTGGAAGTCATTTTCTCTAAACAGCTGGCATCGGTGGTTGCCAACTTCCACACCACTGGCTGAAAGGATCTTCCCTTCTCCAAATTGTGAGTTATCAACCACCAATTTTGGCTCTGCTGCACGTTTGGAGACAGAGATATGCAGTAATCCAGGGCCAGAATCTTTTTGTTCCAAACAGAGTATACCTTTGCAGCAGTCTGGAGTGGAATTGAGCATAGGGAATAGCTTTGAACGAGGACACCATCATCCCCAGCAAATTCATACAGAGGCAAATTGAAGGATACCTCTTGGCCTTCAAACTGCAAAGCTCATTCCTCGGGGTGAAACGTTTCCCTGGAGGCATAAATACTTCTGCCTGAACCGTGTCTAGGACCATCCCCGAATACTGCAGGCTCTGCACTGGTTCCAGGGCCGACTTCTTGAGGGTGAGCACCCAGCCCAGCTGTTCCAGGATCTGCATCGTAAGGACCACATCCTGTTTCAGATCTGGCACCAACCGATTTCTGAGCAAGAGATTGTCTAGATAACCTGTGACTGATACTCCCCAAAATGAGTAACCCCAACACCTATAGGTGGCCTATAGCCCATATAGTCATGAATAGCCTATTCTGTGACCCATGATGTATGATAAAGAAATATGGCGTATTGCATTCTACTAATCCTTAGATGTGGTGGCCTCTTTTGTTTTCTTTTCACTTTTCAGGTTTTATTCCCATTACGGTTTCCTGGTGACCCTGCCAGTAACACACCTCCTATCCTAGAATGACAACGCTCACTTACTGTACTGTTTCTACAGAGCAGCAGCATTGACATCTTAGAACAAAAAGTACTTTACAACTTCCCCTTTCCTTATCCCCATAAAATCGGTGGAAGTGTTTCGTAGTCCACAAAGAAACCTATACAGGGCTGATAAGACAGTTTGATATAAGCATAGTGGCCTAATGGTTAGCACTTCTACATGGCAGTACTAGGGTCGTTGGTTTGAATCCCAACCACGGCACTACCTGCACAGATTTTGCATGTTCTCCCTGTGCCTGCATGGGTTTCCTTCAGGTACTCCGGTTTCCTCCCACACTCCAAAGACATGCTGGTAGGTTAATTGGCTCCGGTCTAAATTGGCCCTAGTATGTGTATATATGAATGTAAGTTAGGGACAGGGGCGGACTGACCATTTGGAAACTCTGGCACTGCCCGAGGGCCTGGGGTCAGTAGGGGGCCCCATGAGATGCCCCTGGTACCTTTTTCATAGGCTTTTTTGAGTTTGGGCAAGGACACAGGGGCCCCATGATCCCCTATTGCCCGGGGGCCCCATGAGTTGTCAGTCCGCCCCTGGTTAGGGACCTTAGATTGTGTGCTCCTTGAGGGTTAGGGACTGATGTAAATGTGTAATATGTTAAGGTTTACATACATTTTAACCCTTTTGCTGACAGGTCTGTACAACGTACCACAGCAGGGGGTTTTATACACAATCTGATGGCTGCAGCCACCAGGATTGTGTGTAAATCTGACAAGCAGACTCCTGCCTGTCAGTTGGAAGCAGTTGGGCAGCTGCGCTGCTGCCCAGTTGCTTTCACACGCCCTTGGTACCGCCCCCCCTGCATGTGTGCAAGCAGAGCCCAGGACTGACATAACAGGTGTCGGCAGGTGGAGGGTAGGGAGGAGAGAGGACACATGTTCACTTTTTTACTTGAAAAAAAATAAATCTACACCCAAGCACATAAAATCACCCCCCAAGAATAAATTTTGAGCCCACCCCCACATGTGCGCATGCACGAACGTATACGCATGAAAACGTTGATTGCAATACACATGTTACGTATCGCCGCACATACTGGAGAGAAGTAATTCTAGCATAAGACCTCCTCTGTAACGCTAAACTGATGGCCTGTAGGGGGCATTTGAAGTATCGCCTATAGAAAATACAGGGTACTGAAGTTTGTCGCCATTTCACGGATGCACACGGGTGCACACAAATTTAAGATTTGGCATAGTGGGTATCTATTTACTCGGCGAAACATTGTCTTTTATGTTTAGCAAAAATGTGGGTAATTTATTGAGTTTGTTTGCCCTAAAATTCACTTTAGTGTGTTTTTTTTACTGACATTTTCCATATCCTAGACCTTTGGGGTAATATCATGTTGTTCTGGGTTGTTCCCTCACTTTTCTCATGATCATCCTTACCCCATGAGGCGCAATCTTTGCATGGAGCTCCAGGCCGAGGGTGATTGATGGTTATTTTGTATTTCTTCCATTTGCGAATAATCGCTCCAACAGTTGTCTCCTTCTCACCAAATTTCTTGCTGATGGTCTTCTAGCCCATTCCAGCCTTGTGTAGGTCTACAATCTTGTCCCTGACATCCTTTGACAGCTCTTCGGTCTTTCCCAATGATGGTAAGGTTTGAATGGAGGAAAGAGATTCTGTGGACAGGTGTTTTTTATATACATAACAAGTTGTTGTTAGGAGCACCTTCTTAAATTGACAGGACTAATCTGTGTACCACATGAGCACATAGCCAGTCTGTGGGAGCCAGAATTATTGTTAGTTGATAGGGGGTCAAATACTTATTTTACTCACTGAACTGTAACTTATTTTATAACATTTGTATCATGTGTTTTTTCTAGATTTTTGGTTTATATTCTGTCTCTATCATTTAAAATACACCTACGATAAAAATTGTAGACCCTTCATTTCTTTGTAAGTGGAGAAAATGAGGAAAGCAGGAGGGAAAATATGAGTGGGGGGATTTACATTTTCCAGCAGATGAGCTCTAAAGATAAAGTTTAGCTAAAAAAAAAATCTCTACAGCTTTAGTCACATCATTTACCTGTAATGAAGCATGTCCCACCCTCTGCAGTCAGCTGGATGCTGGAAGGATGCCTGTCTTCTTCCTGGCTTTGAATCCCTGGCACTGCAGTGATTAACAGCTTTGAGTCTTCAGAAAGAACAGTGGTACAGATAGTCTGATGGGGGCACACCCCCCTCCTTCCTCCTCCTCCACTGAATATTGTTCTCCTTCATCCAAAGATCGTGTCATGGACAGGAAGAGGACCAGGCATCATGAAAATTTCTCCAGGATCCAGATGCATGCACAACATGGGACATACTTCGTTGTAAGTAAGCAATGTGATGAAAGCTGTAGGTTTGTTTTTTAAATTTTAGATGCATTTCAGCTTTAAGTGTACAATCTCCCACTGTATCATCCTTACCCTGTTTTACTGCTGTATACTTCTGTTGGGTCAGTGACTCAGTAGAAAAGTAAGAGCAATTATTCTGGAGCCATCATTCTCTGTTAATGCTAAATTGATAGCCTCTAAAGATTCCAAAGTGTTGCCTATGGAAAATTTTGAGCACTGTTGTTTTTCGCCATTTCATAGGCACACACATTTTAAAGTGATACTAAATATTAAGGGTTTTTTTCATTAAAATAACAAATATATTATATTTACCTGCTCTGTGCAATGGTTTTGCACAGAGCAGTCCTGGTCCTCTTATTCTCGGGTCCCCCGCCAGTGCTCCTGGCTCCTTCCCCCTGCTGAGTGCCCTCACAGCAAGCTGCTTGCTATGGGGCACCCCTGCATGCCGTTCCCTAGTCTGACATGTGTGTCCAGACTGCCTTCTGTGTCAAAACTGTGATAACAGCAGTGAGAGCCAATGGATCTTGATGCTGTATCTAAGCCAATGAGAACGGAGAGAGAGGAGAGAGCCTTGGCCCCCATGCACATCGCTGGATTGGGAGCAGGCTCAGGTGAGTATAAGAGGGGGCTGGTGGGGAAACTGCATGCAGAAGGTTTTTTACCTTCATGCATAGAATACATGAAGGTAAAAAACCTTCTTCCTTTACGACCACATTAAGGCTTGACATGTTTGGTATCCATTTACTCAATGCAACCTCGTCTTTTACATTTTACCAAAAATTGGCTTTATATTGTCATAGATTGTAAGCTCTCATGAGCAGGGCCCCGTTTCCTCTTGTACCAAATTGTATTGTAACTGTAATGTCTGCCTTCATTTTGTAAAGAGCTGCGCAAACTGTTGGCGCTATATAAATCCTGTATAATAATAATATTGTGTTTGTGCACGCTAAAATTGATTTTAGTGGGTTTTTTCTGAAAATATAGACAATTTCATAAATAACATGCAACCAAAAATTGCAGCTGCCACCATTTTTTTTACAGGGCCAAACAATAAATAATGAAGTACTTAGCAGATTTTAACGTGTGCGAAAACTAAAAAACTGCTCTTGACTGCTCTGCGATTAAGGCCACATTCATACTGTTGTGGCGCATTACCATGTGCACATTCATTTTTTTATGTTCTGTTAACTTGTATTGCAGTAGGGGAGCCCATTTCTTTTGAATAGGTTTCCAACTCATTAGAAAAGAGTTTTATTGCACATGCACCTTTTTCAGCGCACCATAACGCACGGATGGTCCAAATCTGCACATTGTAGTGCACTGAATTGCAGGTCCAATATGATGCATTGGGATTGTACATTGGGGGGCATGACTAGCGTAAAAGAGATGTGCTAGTTAAGACCAGGGCAGGGGCGGACTGACCATTTGGAAACTCGGGCACTGCCCGAGAGCTTGGGGTCAGTAGGGGGCCCCATGAGATGCCCCTGGTACCTTTTTCATAGACTTTTCTGAGTTTGGGCAAGGACACGGGCCCCATGATCCCCTATTGCGCGGGGGCCCCATGAGTTGTCAGTCCGCCCCTGGACCAGGGGTGTATTTACCATAAGGCAAACAGGGCAGTTGCCTAGGGCAGCATTTTTCAATGGGGGCAGCACTGCCCCTTGGAAGAAGGGACACACTCGGTATGGGGACCTGGTGGGTTCCCGAGAGAGGCTGCAGGTTTCATGACGGTGTATGTACAGCCCGACTCTCACTCCCGGGGATGTCCGGAGCTGTGAAGGTGAGTGTTTTTCACCATGGGGGATGGTCGCTGGTGTATGGGGGGCAGTGGTAGTGGAAGGCTCTCTCGGGTGGGAGGCACGGGTGTTGTTGATCAATGTCAGTCTCTCTCCGCGGGGAGGTGCCGATTTTTGTGTTGCCTTTGTTCTCTAGCTGGTCTAAAACCGCTTTTGACTTAAAGGGACGCTTTTTGGACGCCATGGACGTTTCTCAGTTTCCAGGCAGAAAGAACAGAAAGAACAGTAAAAATGTAGGCAGGGCACAGGACAAAGCACTCGGGACAAAATGTATGTGAAATGGTTTGATACAGTAATGTTATACTATGTAATTTTAGTGTATTTAGTGAATGTCACTTTTTCACATTTTTAAATTTCCCACCGTTCCGTCCCCCGTGCGTCCCGACGTCGCAGGGAACGGAACCCAGAAGACAGGTGCCGGCAACGGCCGGAATACATTGCCGGGGACACTGCAGGGGGGACATCACGGGAGCAAAGGACATGGTAAGTGCAGAAGAGATCCCGGAGCAACGCTGCATGGTATTCCTGAGTGTAGCTCGGGGTACCGCTTGTGGTGCTGAAACTTTACCCCGAGCTACACTCGGGAATATCGCCAGGGAGGTTAAAACAGAAACATACAGGAGAAGTTGTTGGTCTTCGAAGGCCCCAGACAATACCAATATCCCCCAGCAGAACCTTAACAATATTATTATTACTAAGCCTCCAGCTCGGAAACAAAACACATCATCCGCAGTGCAGAACCTCCACCTTCCAGTTAAACCTCAGTTAATTGGAATGCACCCGGGCACACCATACCACCAATGGGCCCCAACCATTCACTTTAGCTTAAAATTATTTGCCACCTCCAAAGACCAACAACCGCCCCGAAACCAGAACAAATCGGGAACTGAAAAACCCAAGCAAACCCAAAGGGAGGTTTCCTCTTCCACTGCCACTCCTGCACTGGATTGTCTGACCCCCCCACCACTTTCAAAGGTGTCGAAGACCCCACCCCGCACTACCCATCACCAATCAAGTAACCTACGCATTTTACTACCTTCCCACCTTTACTTAACCCTTTCCTGTCTTCCTACCCCTCTTCACATAGTCATGTCTGCCCTCCGCTATTTCTTCTCTTTTCTATTTTTGCTACGGGCACCGCTTTCAATCCCAATGGCGTAGGGTTTACACGTTACTATGAAGCAAAGATGTGAATGGATTTCTCTCAAATTAAATAAATCAAAATAAATAACTAACTAATAAGTGTCCAAAAACCCAAATGTCCTCAAAAATATTCAAAAAATCGTCTCTATATGGTACAATTCTTTCACCTCCAAACATATATTGTATTTCTTTACTTAATTCCACGTGATATTTCCAGATTCCTCTGTACCTCAAAAAATTATAAACTCAAAATAGTGTATTACCTTTTATAAATTATCAACGTGCCATAAATTGTGTATCATGCAAAACTGCATAACATGTAAAACAAAACAACGCGTGAGAAAAAAAAAAACAAAAAACAATACAAAATTATTTAAAATATAATATCTAATCAAAATTAATAATATAATAAAAATCCACACGTGAGTACACTCCAAATGGTGAGCACCAGGGACGGACTGACCACTTGGAAACTCGGGCACTGCCAGTAGGGGGCCCCATGAGATGCCCCTGGTACCTTTTTCATAGGCTTTTTTGAGTTTGGGCAAGGACAAAGGGGCCCCATGATCCCCTATTGCCCGGGGGCCCCATGAGTTGTCAGTCCGCCCCTGGTGAGTACTAAACTGCAACCAATATAGTGATCCACTCCAATTTAGTGTAAAAAAAAACACATTAAACTCTATGCAAAAGTGTAAAAAAGTGATGGGACTTTCAAAACCAGCTTAACAGAAGGCTTTCTACAAGGGTGGAAGTTGTTGACTTTTCTTTGGGGTGTGATAGTTATTGGTATAGGTAGTATTTTGTGCTGAAAGATTGGTATAAAAGATGTGAATGGGCCCCAGGTCCTATAAAATCACTTGCATGGGCAATTTAAAATGTAATGTGTTAGATAAAGCAGTTTAAGAAATAAGGAAACCAGACAGTACCTATGGATTAAAAAAAGGAAGAACTGAAAACAAGAGGGATTAAGTTTGATCTTCTCTGTAGCATGGTGTCAGATGAGAAATATTAGAACACAGCCTTTTCTTGACTAATGCGTACTCATCCCAGCCAATTGTGTTTTCTAGTCGGTACCCAACGTCTGCTGTACTGCTCACACCAACCAACCCACAGGGGACTATTTACTGGAGGTTGTGAGAATTTAAAGTTTGTCTGACTCTTGATAAACTTCTAATTTCCCAGCTGACAGTCAATTCAGCAGAATAAGCAATTTGCTTTCTTCTTCTTTTATTTTTTTTTATTTTTTTAAATCCAAAATTCCTAGTAAAAGCGAGAAAATATTTTTACATTAAAGCCGATATCAAAGGCACACTATCCTCAAAGCTGAAATCCAAGTGGATTTTAAAAATACAGATTCACACAGCAATGCAGTAGGATTGTGGTATCAGCCTCTTGCAATCCCTTGTACAGCTGCACTCAGACTGAGAGAGAGTGGGGCAAGGCTGGGAGTCACACAAGAATGCAGAATGTAAATTCATTGATAAGGGACATGCTGATAGGAGGAGAGAGCTGCGTGATCAAGAGGATGACCTTGTCAGTCTGCCACTGCTCTTTCACCGCAAAGTGAACAGGGACTCCTCTGTACTCCTTAAAGTGGGAGAAAGTCCTAACCAGGGGCGGACTGACAACTCATGGGGCCCCCGGGCAATAGGGGATCATGGGGCCCCTGTGTCCTTGCCCAAACTCAAAATAGCCTATGAAAAAGGTATCAACTGTGGGTGTAGGATTATAACTTTTTTTTTTTTTAATGGTTCAACTGGATGGACTTTTGTCTTTTTTCAGCCAGACTAACTATGTAACATGCAGGGGAAGGCACTCCACAGCACACTATTAACCCTTGAGTTACCAAACATTAATCCACATGCCAAACACATTGAAACATAGAAACATAGAAAAGCGACGGCAGAAAATGACTGAGTAGTCCATCCAGGGGCGGACTGACAACTTATGGGGCCCCCAGGCAATAGGGGATCATGGTGCCCCTGTGTCCTTGCCCAAACTCAAAAAAGCCTATGAAAAAGGTACCAGGGGCATCTCATGGGGCTCCCTACTGACCCCGGGCCCTCGGGCAGTGCCTGAGTTTCCAAATGGTCCTAACTATAACTATTCATAAAAACGTTCCCTCCCCCCTCCTCTTCTTACCTATCCTATTTGAATCTGGTCCGGTCAGATCCCACAGCTCTAGCTTCCCTGTGCCAATGAGCAGCAGCTGCAGGGGAGAGCAGGGAGCGCTGACAATGGCTGGACCATGGGAGCCTATGGGTGACATCATGGATCCCAGAATTCACAGCCGTTAATGAGCACTCCCTTACAAAGAGCTGCAGGATTACGTAGGTGGGTCAGAGCGGATTGAAAATAGGTAAGTATAAAGATCTTTTTTATACAGATTAGGCAGGATCGGTGGAAGTCAGGAGGAGGAATCATTCTTAAGAATGGTTATAGGTAGAGAAGAGAGACAGCAGCACCATTCTAAGTGTAGACGGTTAAAATCAGGCAGATTTGATGGTAAAATTGCACTCACACAGATAGGTAACAGGTAGGCATGTCAAGTGATGGAGGTCCAGTGGGAGCATTAGGTCCTTTGGCCATGCTCTGGGTGTTTTCCGTCTGCTCCAGTGGTGTCCAGGGCTTGGGGAGTAGCAGGTGGGCGCATGGAAGCTCACAGGGATGATGTCACCGCATGGACCGGGTTTCCAAGATGGCGCACATTCGGAGCATCGGCCTGACGAAGGAGTGATCATGCTCCAAACATTTGCCATCTGGGAAACCCGGTCCATGCGGTGATATCATCCCTGTGAGCCTCCCTGCACCCCTCTGTTACTCCCCGAGCCCTGGACACCACCGGAACGGCGGGAAAACGCCCAGAGCGCGGCCACAGGACCTGATGCGCCCACTGGACCTCCATTACTTGACATGGCTACCTATTACCTATGTGAGTGCAATTTTACCATTAAATCTTCCCAATTTTAACCATCTACACTTAGAGTAGCTCTGCTGTCTCTCTTCTCTACCTGCATTAGGATTATCTAGAAGCTCTTACAGCCGGCTGCCTCCTCGGACAAATCCATACTACTACAAGCCCCCCACTACAGATGGACTTGGATACCACCTCCACATGGACCTTCTACTAACCCCCATTGCTGATGGTCCATCCCCAAACACACATATGGTAGATGCAACTTAGCGCTCCCACTCACCAGTTAAGAATGGTTATAGTTTCTACCACTTTAACTGTAAGTACTGTTAGACACATGGCTGTGCTGTATTGCAGAGCTGTGTAAATCTCATGACTGGAGGGACAGAAATAAAAAAAAAAAAGTGGCAGTAAAACAGCTCTTGTATATTTTTTTGTGTGTGTGTATTTAGCTGTGTCCCTTGAGTTCAGCTTTAAATATTGTCTTTTTTGAGTCCTAACTGTGTGTTATGGGGCCCTGTAGCAAAATTGTTTAGGACCCCTGCCCCTTCTCTATCTCAAATATGGACTTTTTATAAGTCAGTGGGCCTGAGAATGGGGTGGGACAGGGGGTTGATTAGGAACAGGCATAATAGCAGAGCACCAAGTTTAAAGTGGCTTCAATCCTCTGACATGAAATATGAACAAATCATATCCCTCTATAGTGTGTACTTGTATCAGTCCAGAGCACATTGGTCACTTCTGTCTGTTGACTTTGTTCCTCTGTAATCAGCATGAGACATTTGTGACAAGTTTTCCTGATAGCAAGAGCTAAAAAGGTGACAGGGGAGGGCCCTCCAGCACACAGCCTGTGATTGACAACCTCAGCTGTGTGGTGTGTGAAGGTGAATGTGTCCCTTCCTTCCAATAAGCTGTCACTGAGCGCTGCAGAGTGTGACTACAGCTGCCCGCCCCCTGCTTTCTTAAAGCTCAGACAAGCTCTTTACATTCTGGACTTTAAATGCATGTAGAGGAGAAAGGGCTACATATACACAGGTACAACTTATGTAGGAGGATATATTTCATCTCTGTGTATCACCTGAGGCCTGTCACTTCACTGATTATATGTAAGGGTTTACAACCACTTTAATTAATGATTGTGGCATGCATCAAAATAGTGCTAGTGGCTGTGGCACACCACAGCAAACTGACGATTTTAAAAGCAGGGCCCATGGTAGTGCCTTCCTCTAGTTAGGTCATTAAGCTAAATTTAGTTTTTCACTGTAGTAAGTGAAGTAGAGATCTATTGATTCTGCCTGGTCAGGGCTTCCTAAGCTGGGTGTTTGATTTCTCCTGCCTGCTTCTTGGAGAAGCTTCTAAAATATAGGGTAGGGAGGATTTGGTAATAAATATTTATCATGCCTCATCCAATCCCTGGAAGAGGGCTTCCAGAAGGTGGCTGGGGAGGTGATAAATGTTTGGGGAGGCCTTTCCAGATTTTTCCTCCTCTGCTGGGTTTGTTCCGGTTCTCCTGGGGCTGCTGCCCCTGGGAGGCAGCTACAGTTTGCTGACGAATTGCAGTTTGGTACTCAGCAGGTGCTGGAATGATGGCCAGGAGAAGATTACTAAAGGGATTTGTGCGTCCAGGCTTCCTTCCTTCTTCCAGTCCCTCTTCCACCCAACTCATCTGCTACTCAGACTTTGCCAAATTTAAGGGTTGTCCTTGGTCACTATGCCTGGCCTGCTGCCTGGGGATTGGTCAAAGTCCCTCAAACATGCAGATCTGGGCCTCCTCCCCCTCCTCCGCCCCTCTTCCAGAAAGTTCTCTGTTTCTAGAAGGGTGGGAGGGCTCCAGAAGGCCTGACCTGTAGAGCCTCCCAGCCTGTACTAAGGTGAACTACCGCCTCACTCCCAGGCTGACTCATCCCAGGCTGCTACTCTGCCACTAACTAACAAAAATCCTATTTTAGCTAACCTAGAGGGCATTACACTTAGACCAATGGGAAGTTGCGGAAGGCAGGATGGGGTCAACCATAGGCCAACTATGAGAGGTTTGATCTCTGAATTTAACATGTGCAGACAGTATTTTTCTTAGACCGAACAGACAGTAATAAAAAATCTGGAATCCAGTTACGTTTAATTAGAAATCAGTTAATTTTATTGTATCTGGGTCTTTTCATATCAGCCACCTGGAATGCTCTGTACAGCAGATCCTCACTAAAAGTCAGTAAGTGTTCAGTGCATCGCATGGTGCTGCTCATCTAAAGCTGACCACACATCACAATCAAGGCAAAGTGACTCTTAAAAGCCCCATGACCCACTTATACTCATATTTGAAGCACACTTCTGCCACACTGTTGCTCCATCAGAGCCCTCAGGATACACCTGAAACTTCCAGGTATGGGGTAACATGCGTTGAAGATAGTTATTAAGAGGTCATACAATAAATTACCGTATCACCCAGTAAATGGTCTCCATTCAGTAGCCAAAAAAGGTATACAAAAAAGGGGGGTTGTGAAAAGGAATTCACAAAGAAAGCGGCTACACATTGAACAGAATGCGATACTCAGAAAAAATTTTTTTTCAAAAATTATGCTTTATTACACATACAAATTTGACATACGGGCAATCGCCCTGGTTTACCATCACCTCAGTATGAGACAATACACACAGACCTAAAACCATATAAAATGACAC